GTTATGCTGCAACCTGATTCTACAGTTGAAAATATTTTTTCCCTCATTAATCTACACTCATAATGATAAAGTGAAAACATAATTTTAGAAATGTCTGTAAATGTATTAAAAAGAAAAAACTGAAATATCACATAAGTATTTAGACTCTTTGCTACAGCACTTGAAATTTAGCTCCAGTGCCACCCATTTCTCTTGATCATTGCTGACATGTCTCTACCTCTTGATTGGAGTCAACCTGTGATAAATTAAATTGATTGGACATGATTTGGAAAGGCATACACCTCTCTATGGAAGGGTTGATGGCTGACAATGCATACTGTAGCAGAGTAAAAGCCATGTGGTCGAAATAACTGCCTGCAGAGCTCAGAGACAAGATTATTGCAAGGCACAGATCTGGGGAAGGATACAATAATTTTTTTTGCTGCACTGAAGGTTCCTGACAGCACAGTTGCCTCCATAATTCTCAAATTGAAGAAATTTGGCACAAGGACTCTTCCATGAGCTGGTCACCCTGTTAAACTGAGCAATTGGGGGAAAGGTTGCCTTAAGTAAGGGAGGTGACCAAGAACCTGATGGTCATTCTAAATTTCAGAGATCCTGCGTGGAAATGGGACAGAGTTCCAAAAGGACAACCATCACTGCAGCCCTCTCCCGATTTGGACTTTATGGCAGAGTGGCTAGATGGAAACCTCTTTACAGTGCAAAACACATGAAAAACCATTTGGAGTTTGTAAAATAATCAAAGGACTCCTCAGGCTGTGAGGAATAAGATTCTCTGATCTGATGAAACCAAGACTGAACTATTTGGCCTCAATTCTAAATGTTATGTCTGAAGAAAACCAGGCACTGCTCATCACCTGTCCAATACTATCCCAACAGTGAAGTGTGGTGGTGGCATCGTGCTGTAGGGGTATTTTTCAGCAGTAGGAACTGGAAGACTGGTCAGTGCTGAGGAAAAGCTGAATGAAGTGAAGTACAAGGATACCCTCAATGAAAACCTGTTTCACAGTACACAGGACCTCAGACTGGGCTGAAGGTTCATTTTCCAACATGGCAACAATCCCAAGCATATAGCCAAGACAACACAAGAGTGAACGTTCAAGAGTGGCCCAGCCAGAGTCCTGATTTGAAATCTATTGAACATTTCTGAAGAGATCTGAAAATGGCTGTCCTCTGAAGGTCGCCATCCATCCTGACTGAGTTTGAGAGGATTTGCAAGGAAGAATAGCAGAAAACTCCCCAATCCAGGTGTGCAAAGGTTGTCACATCAATCCCAAAGACTAGAGGCTGTAATTGCTGCTAAAGGTGCTTCAATGAACTACTGAGTGAAAGGTCCGAATACTTATGCCAGGGTTTGTTTTTAATAATTTTACAGACATTTCTAAAATCCTGTTTTCACTTTGTTATTATGAGATACTGAGTGTAGATTAATGAAAAAATTGAATTCTAATAATTGTAGAATCAGATTGCAACATAACAAAATTGACAAAAGTGAAAGGTCTGAATACTTTCTGAACGCAATGTATATTTTATTGTGTTTACTAATGTATTTCACCTTATTAAAGGTGAAATGTACATATATGTTGGCCATCCATGTATGAAAGGCCACACGCTAAATAAATACATTTATGACCTAGGCATAAAAACAACCAGAACTGTTAAGCAAATTTTTGATTCTAGCAATTTTTTAATTATAACATAAAAGGGCCCAAAGTCTGCAATTCTAGGAAAAAGCCTGTTTGAAAGAGCACATTTGTGCAGTTGTAACACTGAAATATGCAAATATTGTGCTGAGATAATAGATGAAAAGGTGGCTGATGAAACCATATCAAAGTAAAGTGATTTTAAGTCCTTTTCCTAAAATTGATGTACTATATTTTTACAATGTAATAGAATGCTAGAAAAATAAGTAGTTATGTTATATAGGCAGATGGACAGATTAAAATCATATAGTCATTTAAGAAATGTAAATTCTTGAATGCCCCATCCTCATCCCAGGAAAATATACTATGAAATGCCTATGGTGATAGTTATATTCAAAAATTGTGTTTGGGGCCAGATCTGATAGGGCAAGCTACTGTATATGAACAGGGAGCAAACCCAACTTGCTATCACCGATGATTATCCAACTATGTTACATGATGATTATCCAACTATGTTACAGACCATGTAATGGTCTGCAAGCAAAAAATCAAGCTTGAACTCCACAGTTAACCCTGAGCTACATTTATTTCTCTTTTATTAGAGGGCCACATCATAATTGTAACTTCAAATATCATAATTTAATATCATAATTTCAGCTGAGAACAAATATTAGAAGGATCTTTGGATCCTGATTTCCAATGATAGAACTCCAAATGTGCTGTTGTTATCATGATTATTATTGGTATTTTCCAATATTTTGGATTCTAACCAACAGTCTAGAACTCATGGACTTATTCCGGTAGAATAAAGGAAGTTTCAAACAAGATTTTTTTTTTTTGTAAGTCAGTAGTGTTCAAGTTCAATAAATTTAAAACATTCAAATATTTGGTGAATTCTTTTGCTATGGATTCAAGGATGAAGAAGGAGGAGGAGATTTAGAAAGTATTCGACACCACATAGTTTAGAACTGTAAAATTCAAAAATTGAGAGGAATCACATCGCTAATACATGGATCTCTAAATTAGTCCTACTAACTAGTGATTAAATAGGAATAATTGAACGTCAGTCTTGTGCTGGCTTCTTTTTCAATACCAGAGCCTCCATCAAGCTATTCCATCAAGAGCAGATAGCATGAAGTCTGTACTTAAGCCTTCAATTCCTATGCGGAAACTGTCATTTTGTTCATCAAGAAGTATTGATTCATATCATTATTACATGTCATCTTCAATCTAAGAATTTCTCTTCAGGTGCCATCAGTCAGAAATTTTCTGAGGAGACATCCTTTTGTGAGTAGCTAAAATTTGCCAAGTGAAATATCCTAAATTGACATTTAATACTTAACTATGACATTTAATAGTTGTAGATATGTGTTTTTTGCGTTGAGGTATTGGCATGTCTACTTCTGGAGTACCAAGGCTGGTGACTAGAATGCCAACTTCTCAATTATTTCCAGTCAGTAGCTGGAAATATTTTTTTTACGTGTTTCTGAACACTGCAAACCTCTTTCCTACATTTGGGATGGTAAAACTACTTTCTTTTTCTTCATAATTATTTCAGATTTAGATATGCCAAGAATATATTCTCAATTTATCTTTTTTCTATTAGGGGTTATTTTAGGCTTTTAATATGCTGGAATCTCTTAAAAATTATATGTGGCAAATGATGAGAATCAATATTCTATTACAATTTTGACAGATGTATGAATCAATCCTAAAAGGTGGTTAAAGTATTAAAGTATTCAGAGAACTCATTTGTTCATCGAATGTTCATATCACATTTCTTCAAACCAATCTGCCTTCTAGTGACTGAACTTCTCAGCAAAGACTATTCAAGCTGGAAATTACTGCAAGCAGATATCCATACATCTGAAGGGCACCCGGGTTGTAGAAAATGTTCCAAAACCTGTGTTGTTTTGCTTGTTTATTTGTTACAGATATAACAATTGTTATATTCTTCAGGGACATATCCTTAAAAAAAAGAAGTAAAAGTGAGTTGGTTGTATATTGGTTGTACAACCAAGAATTTCACTTGGAATACAATAAACCTATAAAAAATGTGTATAATTCTATATTCATTAATTTATTCATACATTAATTTAATACATTTATATAGCTGCACATCTATCCAAGAAATTCTGGGCACCAAACAAAGTTTTTTTAATTCAATTTACAAGCACAGAAAACTAAAACTCTCAGTGTAAACATATCAACAACATCCACATTTATGCCAGAATTTTATCAAAATCCTGGCCCCATGCCTGAGGAAAAAGCCAGATCCTCACAACTTTCTGGAAGGCCAGCGGGGTTGGGATTGTCCATAGCTGGGGTGAGGATCTTCCACACAGAACATAGAATAATGAGGTTGGAAGATACCTTGGAGATCTTCTAGTCCAACCTCTGCCCATGGCAGGAGATCCTGTACCATTAGGGTAAGGTTGTCAAACTCAAGGCTATCCTTAGATCTGTTCTGTGGGGCCACCCTGGAAACAACGAGGGACTGGCCTGTGGTGCCTCTGCCAGAAGAAACAGAGCTTGGAAGGGCTGCACATGGCCCTCCCAGGCTCCGTTTTCGGCTGGGATGGCTTCCTGCAGCTCTCTGCCAGCAAAAATGGAGCTCAGGGGGGCTCCATTTTCACTGGCAGAGGGCTGCAGGAGGCCATCAAGGCAGCAAATAGAGCCTTGACAAGTGATGTTGAGCTGACCACACACACCCCTTGGCCACGTTCCCCCAGCGCCTGAGGTCAAACACAACCCTGAAAAGGCCTTCAAATCAAGTTTGACACCCTTGCATTAGGGCCTTGATCCAATGGTTACACGTGATCATAGAAAGAATAACAGAGTAACAGAACAGAGTAACTGAATTTGAAAGGATTCCAACAGTCCTCCAAACTCACCCCTGTCCAAACAGGAGACCCTACACCAATTCAGACAAAAGGCATGACTTGTGACAGAGAAGGCATGCTTCCTAGGACCCACCGAATGACATTATTTCAACTGATGGGACTTGGAGCATGTTTACTCTGACAGATCTGATGGGCAGACACTGTCAGAGAAATAAGGTCTCACAAATACCGTATCCCTATCTATGCCACAGTCAGCTTTAAAGATGGCAACCAGCATAATCAACTTTCACCCAGTGTCCTGCTTGGGATAAGTGCAGTTCACATGGCAGTAGTGTTGAGTAGGTATACCTGGTGTGCTTAGACACATGCCACTGCATCTGGGCCAGCTAATGCTTTTATGGAATAAGATCATCCCTAATCAACATTGCATATTTCAAGGCAGTATTTAATTAAAATACATTTTTGATGTTACTGATACATTTCCTGTTTATTTTATTTTCTTAAATTCCTCTAGTGACCTATGGGATGACGAGTTCAAATGCCTACTACTATACCAAGGTGATGTCTGAACTCTTTCTGCAGACTCCTTCAGAAAGTGGTGTCTCCTTCCAGACCATTGGAAGTATGGCTGACTTTTGGCGAGTGAGTGCCAAGAAGTTTTGGATGCTGACTTTTTGTGTCAGATGATATAGCAATTTTAAATATGGCTCAGTGACTGAAAACCGCTAGGATTCTTTTGAACTGACTTTAATCTGCTTAACTGAATTGTACATATGTGCAAACATGTATATTCATTAATGTACACAGTTCATTGTGTATAAGCGACCTCTTCACATTCTAAGACTAAATTATAATCAGTTCACTCATACCTCCATGTGAGGCTTGGTTATTTATTTATTTAATGAAAATTTATATGGTTGTCCAACTCATTCTCTGTGACTTTGGGCAATAAAAACCCAATATAAAAACAATGAAAAACACCCCTAATAACAACAATCATACTATCATATTGATTTCAATGTCCTCTGACTATATCTCAAAGATTCAGACCATATACACTTCTTCCTCCATTATGCAAAGAAAAAGCACTAACCAATTCCAATTCACAAACAAGGACTCTATTCCTATGCAGTTGAAATTCAATCATACTGAGTCAGTAATTGGAGATTGCCATCTCAGAAGCTCCTTGGATCATAAATGGCAAAGTTGTCAGAACCATTTCCTTAACCTTTGAAACAGGAAACACCATAAAAATATCCCTACAAGAGACTTCAGATAGCATTTTTTTAAAATTCCAAGAAATAGCCACAATTGCTCATTCTTGCATTAATACTACTTCTTCCATTTTGACATACGCAAAAAGTAAACTACATTAACATCATTCTGTGTCATGTGGCTGTTTTTCTTGATCTGTGCCCCGTGGCTTTTTTTTCTTTATCTCCATAGTATACACAAGGACCTTTTCTGGATAGTTTGTATTGGACTAAATGGTATAACAATCAATCTTTGGGTCACAATGCACAATCATATATCTATTATGAGAACTTACTGCTTGGTGTCCCACGGCTACGCCAACTCAAGGTCCAGAACAACTCATGTGTGGTGCATGATGATTTTAAAGAAGATATTGCTGGTTGTTATGATGTATATAGTGAGGAGAAAGAGAACACATCACCCTTTGGACTCTTGAATGGGACAGCGTAAGTAGAGAATAACCTTTTTGAATTTCATAAATTATAGCTCTGAAGTACACCTCAATTTCAGAAAATAAGATGGCAGTCAGTTTGTTGTATAGATTCAGAGGCACAATATCATTTGGTCTCTCTTTTTTTTTGTCTCATTTATTTTAAAATCATGGATCATATAGTCATTAAAAGAGCTTGGAAACTTTCAAAACACCTGATAACAGAAAAAGAAAATTGCAGAAAGCATAAAATCCATCAGAATGAAAACCTCTGTTAAATACCAGAAGTAAGGCAACATTAAATTAATAGGACTGTCAGAAGTGAGAAATGTTTTCTGTTTTGAGCTTGTGAGAAAGAACCCTGCTCAAATATTTCATTAGAACATTTAAAAACTCAAAATCATTATTCTACATTCCACTGGAACAAAATTTAAAATAAACCATAAAGCACATGGACAAGTAAAAAAGCCCTTTGCTCCCTTCTTTTTTTCACCCCATGATACAAATATAACATGCTGACTGCTATATGCTTTGCAAAATCCTCATTGGAAAAATATATAATGGTAAGTGGGAAAGATCTTGGGATATAGGGAGCAGAGATGTTGCCAAGAGATGGTCAGATAAGACAGAGTACAGCCCACAGCTGGATGGTGGACAGGACAAGAGGCTCAGAATGGACCATATCCCTGATTTCTTGCATTGTTAAGGCAAGAGGGGAAAGATGTACTTCCACACTTGCAAAATACTGTTAAGGTAGCCTTACAATAAAATAAGAGCTAGTGCAGTGATGGCTAACCTTTCCGTCCTCACATGCCAAAAATGTATGAGCGTGCACACATGCCAACACCCATAAGGCTATGCATGCACGGGGGGCCACGCCCCCTGTGCATGCACGCATGACACCCCCCCGTGCACACCGTGCATCTCTGTGCACAACTCCCACGCATGCCTCACGTCTTTCTGTGCGGCAGCTACACAAAGACCAGCTGGCGGGCGGGCGGTGGGCACATAGAGCTGCTCTGTGGTGACGGCTCACGTGCCGGTGAAGATGGCTCTGCGTGCCACTTCTGGCACGTGTGCCATAGGTTCGTCATCACGGAGCTAGTGCTTCTGAGTGTGTTTCTTGTCTGGATCACCTTGCAAGGTTGTCAATGAATCAAGCGGACCTGTGAATTTAGATTCCTACCTTGAGAAGGGGGCTGGATTCCAGATCAAATTCCTTCCTCTTTACAGCTCTCTTTACTTTTGAGTCCTAATATTCATAGCATTCATGTCATCAAAATAAATAGCCAAGAGAGAAGAGTTAAACCTTGTACTTCATATAGTATTTCAAGAATGCTGCCGATAGATTACTGGTTAATTTCCTCAAAAATGATATCATTCTCTATATCCATGAGGCAGTTGAGCCAACTTAAGACATTGTACATTTTCCTTTCACCAATTCTTTCTCTCGTTTTCCTCCATAATTTTTGTGGCACAGGTGGCAATATTACACAGAGCAAGAACTTGATGGCTCTTCCCATTGGGGCAGATTAACAAGTTACAGTGGAGGAGGCTATTATGTAGACCTCAAAATAACCCGGGAAGAAAGTGCCGAAACTCTGCAAGAGTTGAAACAAAATCTATGGCTGGATCGAGGAACTCGTGTTGTTTTTATGGACTTCTCCGTGTATAATGCCAACATCAACCTGTTCTGTGTGCTCAGGTAAGTGGCATTTGAACATAGCAGTTCTGGCTCATTCTTCTGAAATTATATTTTGAGCTTTTCCTTGTCTTTAATTTTTTTTCTACAATTTTACAATATGAAACCATTTTCACTTAGAAAACCAACTTTGAAATATTCCTGTAAGAGAAAAATTAGTGATAAATAAAAAGCAGACAATATTTACATGGAAACAAGCCTAACTGACTATACCATTCTTTTGATAAAAAAAGATGGAGATCTTATTTCAATATGGCAGTTTTTTTTCAACTTTGGGAGCCTTAAGATGTATGGACTTGGGAATCTTGGTGTTGATGTCCACACATCTTAAAGTTCCCAAGGTTGAGAAAAACTGTAGTATGAAGGCCAAACTAACTCAGGAGAACCAGCTCCAGTCAAATGTTCTCTCCTTCTCCCTCCTTATATCCCATTCATACCTTGAAATGCTGATATGGTCCTAAATCTGTAGTGCTGATGATGACATAGAAATGGAGAAAAAGTAGTCATAAGCCTACATAAATGGGAGAGCATTGGAAACAGAGTGGGATGGTGAAACAAAACACTGTAAAAATGAAATGGGGGAATTAGTGAGTGGATTCCTTGGCTGGTAGAAGTACAACATGGCTGAACATCTTGATATAACAGTAATACTACCAAATTAGTACATTTCAAAAATGGTTTTTCCTTATTTTGTTTTCTTCACTTTTCTGCAAAAGTGAATCACCAGTATTATTGCAATTCCCCAGGGACTGTGGAAGAAATAAAAAGTCAGTTTTTAAGTAGATTAATCTTTTTATTTTAAATGTTTTTATATATCTAGTACAGTGATGGCTAACTTTTTTGTCGTTGTGTGCCTGCACCCATAATACAATGCACGCAGGACCCCGCCCATGCTCCCATGCCCCCTGTGCATGCGCACACATCTCCCACATGCGCCCCGTCCCCCAGGCATGCGCAGCAGGTACTTAAAAATCAGCTGGTTGACGAGAGGCACGTGCACATGCTCAGTGGAACTGAGCTGGGGCGACAGCTCCCATGCCTGCAGAGATGGCTCTGCGTGCCACTCCAGCACGCATGCTATAGGTTTGCCATCACGGATCTTGTTGTTGATTTTCTAAGAGGAATATGCATACAAAAATAATATTAGCCCTTACTACCAGGAATGTTTATACACCATCATCTCTGCTGCCTAGGTTGGTAGTGGAATTCCCTGCCACTGGGGGTGCCATTCCCTCATGGCAGATCCGGACCGTGAAACTCCTCCGGTATGTCAGCACTTGGGATTTCTTCATTGTCTCTTGTGAAATTGTCTTCTGCATCTTTATCTTCTATTATATTGTGGAAGAAATCTTGGAACTGCACATTCACAGGCTTCAGTACTTCACCAGCATCTGGAACATTTTGGATATTGTGGTCATTTTGGTGAGATTTCTTCTAATAGGATATTATATAGAAACATATTAAAGCAATGCAATAATTAATATGCTTAAAATGGGAGATTAGACTTGAAAGTGTTTATTGGTTGATGTGAATAGTTAATTAGCCATTTACTTAGTTGCCTATGTGTTATAAAATTATAGTGACAATTATTTACAAGGGCCAAGTAAGGAAATCACAGTAGAAAATGGGAATGAGAGTAGGCTTTTGCCTCCTGTGCATTGGAATCCCTTGGCAGAGATTTGGCAAAAGGGGTGGGGGGAGGAGAGGAGAGGAGAGAAGGGAACGCTTTTGCACCCTCTGCCCTTTCTATTGAATCACACATTTTTCTCAGCTTTCTATTTTAGCCATTGGATTCCACATTTTTCGTACCATTGAAGTCAACAGGTTGATGGGGCAGCTGCTAAGAAATCCTAACATCTACGCGGATTTTGAATTCCTGGCTTTTTGGCAAACCCAGTACAACAACATGAATGCTGTGAACTTGTTCTTTGCCTGGATCAAGGTACTTTTCATCCTTTGTCTCTCATCCCAATTTGAAAAAGTAAGAATTTTCTACACAGTAGGGTGATAAGGTGGCAATAGAGGGATGGTGCTGGTACTTGTTTATTGTTTTGATTTATACTCTGCTATTTTGTCCATAGAGCACTCAGGTGGCCAACAGTCTAAAATAAAAATAACCAACTATTAAAACCAAATGAGAACAGTTAACATCATTAGTCACACATTCTGTCTGAAGAGAAAGATCTCTTCCTTGAAAGTGCCAGAGCCAAATGCAATTCCTGGTGGAAAATATTTCATAGCTGGGGAGTAATTCAACAGATATCCTTGGGAAAGTATTTCCACTCATTTCCCCGTTTTGGATTGCAAAGCAACAGTAATGCCAATTTACTTTATATATGCCTTATCACATTGCATGCAGAGTACTGAATTTTTAAAGCCCAGATAGAGATTGCCTAGCTTTAGTTTTCATTATCTATTCTAACCCAAACCTAAGAAGTTGGTGTGTTATGATCCTTCATCTTATCCTCTCCCATCCAGATATTCAAATATATTAGCTTTAACAAAACAATGACCCAGCTGTCCTCCACTCTTGCTCGATGTGCCAAGGACATCCTGGGTTTTGCCATCATGTTCTTCATTGTCTTTTTTGCCTATGCTCAACTGGGCTATCTCCTTTTTGGAACCCAAGTAGAAAACTTCAGCACCTTTGTTAAATGCATGTGAGTATCTCCCATTATCCTTTCCTTTTTTATTTCTCCTTCATTGCAAGGATCTCAGTCAGATGTTTATTATCCAGAAGACCTGCTTAACTTTAATCTGAACTGATTATTCCCTATGAGAAGTTATGTTATCCTGGCCAGCTCTATTTTTTTTCTTTGAAATATGTTTTCTTTTTAACTGTAAATTGCCCAGAATAGCTGGGCTGTCAAGTAGCACTGAAAGTGAAATAATAAATGCCTTTAAGCCTCAGAGAGGTTTCATGTACCCATATCTTTCTTGAAACCCTCCAAACCCCAAACCCCATAGATAATAAAAAATATTGCTCTTGCCTGTTCAAGCAACACCACAAAGCCTTCAGTCCTATTTGTCTGGCCTCAGACAAGACAAAAAGACCAAAAGAAAATCATTTTGCTCCCCTGACCAAAAGTATAAGTAAAAGATATAGTAATGATCTGATCATATAAAATACATAATCCTTAATTTTTCCTGGCCTCAGACTCTTCTTCTTAAACTGATTCTCCAATGGATCCACAACTACTTCAGTTTAGATGTTGTTAGATTGGTAATATATACTGTATTCTATGAACCCAATTAAAAGTCTAGTTGCAGGATTTGTGGGAATGGAAAACCTGCTGATTCAGGTGAGTTTTCAGATCCGTTAGATGATTTTATTTATTTATTTTATTTATTTATTTTGATTTGTCAACGCTTACAAGTTAATAGGTATAAGTACATACATAGTTATGAATACGTGAAATGGGTACATATAAGAAAAATAAAAGAAACAATAGGACAGCAAATGTTTTGTATGCTCTAATTAGTAGTGTGATATTACCAGAGAAAAAGCTACGTAGGATTAGGTTAACAACTCTTAATGCCTTTTTGGCTATTCCAGTGGGCTCTAGCACTTAGAGATGAGTATTCCAAGGTCCTTTACAGAGCTTGGATCATCAGCAAGGTCTTGACTATTCAGCCTATATTTTATTTTCTGATTTTTTTTGCCAATATGTAAGACAGAGCATTTATTTGTTGAGATTTGAAGTTGCCGTTTGTTTGACCATTCTGATACATAGTCAAGATCTTTTTGAAGGGTAGCAGTATTGTCTGTGGTATTGAACAGCTTTACATCATCAGCGAAGAGAACGCAGTTGCTCTCAATGTGATCACAGAGGTCATTTATGTAGAGTATGAAGAGAGTTGGTCCTAGAACACTGCCTTGGGGGACACCACTGTTGACAGGTACAGAATTTGATAGGACACTCCCAATTTTGACCATTTGTTGTCTGTTTGACAGGAATGTTTCTATCCAGTTATGCAGTTGTCCAGAGATACCATAAGATTTTAGTTTTAGGAGTAGTTTGTCGTGTACCACTGAATCAAAGGCTTTACAGAAGTCTATGTC